AGAACTCTTCAGCCAAACCTGCCATAACAAAATTTCTTTTTACCACTGAAAGCAGTGAATATGTAGGTGGTAAAACAATTCCATTTAAGAGTCTGTCATGGCACTTCTGCTCCTTTTTGCCCTAATTCTTAATTCCCTATTTTCCCACTCCTGAATGTATGTGTTGTATGATCCTGTTGTTTCAGTTCCAATTCTCTTAAGCCTCAGTGTGACTGTCTCCTAATAAGGTCACGGACTTAGTTTATTGTGTTCAATGAGCCCCCACTCTCTGAAGCTCTGCAATTTCTTATTTGTTTCTTCACTATGGGTTATTATCCCTCAAAAGTAAGTCTGAAAAAGTGAAGAAAATGTAATAGGCTTGAGGACATAGTGAAGTAATTACATGACATTTCTTGCCAAGCATCAATATCACTAGAGTTCAGTGAGTTTCCACATAGTATACTGATGGAAAAAAATGTGATTTATGTCAGCTTTGGACAAAACTCCATAGTGCCTTCCAAGGTTGTTATGTAAAACCAAACACTGAGAATTAGAAAGCTATTCTTTACAAAAGAAGAAAATGCCATGTCTGATACACTTGCAAGGGCTGAAGCTGGCAAGGCTTTCCCAGTGTTACATCTTTTCTACTGCTCAAACAAAAGAACTAGAATTAGCAGTAGGTTTTTCTGCTGCTTGCTTTACTGAAACATCTATAAAAAACTATTCCAGTAAGTCTGAGAGAATTACAAGACGTACCGGCAGTTCAAGGAAACTCAGCAACAATACAATATTACAGGCATGCCCAATCAATAAATAAAAAAATAATTGAATATACCTCACCCAGACTAGAAAGAACTTTTATGTAAACTATATTGTGTCAAATTCTTCCCACGGCACCAAGTGAATGGCCAACTATCCATTAACTTGGAATAGTGGAAGGAAAAAGCTTATTTTAAACTCTGGAGCATAGACCTACTGTATATATAGGCTTGGATTTCTTCGCACTGCAGCAGAGCAAATTATTTGTTCTGTATAAATCTTCATTCTTGTCTTCAATAAAGAATGTAATCTAGCTAAATTGTTCCTGAGAGTCTTCTAACAAATTAAGCCATTGCTAAATAAGGGTTAAGGGTCTGGAGAGCTGAGATTTATCACTGAGTCCTGGTGTGAAGCCCAACATGTAGTCCCATGATTAAACTTTAAGATCTGACCTCTCCATAATTTGAAGTAGGTCTGTGAAGTAGGTCTGTTTATGAAAAGAGAAAATAACAAAGAGAAAATGAAAAGCTTTTGAGACACTATTTAAAGGGAATAAACATCAAGGTTTTTAAAAGCAAACAGAAGGAATATAAAGTTGGCTTATTCAATCAGGGTTAAAAAATAAAAATGATCTTCTTTCTAGTAGCTCTTAATGGGTTTTTCTTGACCAGGACTGAAGAGGGTTTAAAGATTTGTTTATAGATAAGATATGAGAAGAAGATATATTTTTTCTTAAAATATAGATGTTATCTCTGGTATATGTTAAATTTGAGAAGGAGTTCCTGAGAGGAGACAAAGAGAAAATGATAAGAAATTAACTTGTGGGATACTATTTGAGGGATTAAAATTTAAAGATTAGGATTTTTAATATCTTGCTTGTTTTTCTGTCAGGAAGACATCTTTGGTTGAAATGTTAGAGAAGGTGATAAGTTACTGAAATTGTTTGTACTTGTCTTGATACAGGGGGAAATCATTTTTTTATATATCTTTTTCCTCTTTTTCTTACATTTTTTTCTCTCTCCCCCTTTTTTTTTCTCTGTACTTTTCAATTTTTTTTTTTCCTTAGTCTCCTCATGGGCAGCATCTGTGTAAAGCACTTAGGGGAGATCCTGGGTACTCCCTTTTATCTGGGGAAGAATTTCAAGCCACCAATCTGTTTGCTGGCACTTCATTCCACCACAGTCATCAGCTCTGCAAAATGCAAAACCATCTTCAGACTGCCCTTGCTTCCCCAGAAGTCAGAAACATATTTGTTTCTTAAAAGTAGCCATTGTTTAAACAGTTTCTCTCCATACTGTACATACACACTTGATGTAGAGAGTAAGGAAGATGACTTTGATGGAGAGATGTAAACTCCATTGCCAAGTGGTAAAACATTAGGAAGATACCTTGCTAATTCACTGAACTATAAGTAGGAAGAGGACATCCAACATAATCCAACTTGCAAGATTCTATTATTATAGCCAATTTCAGTAAAAATAATTTTTGCCTTCCCATGGAATTGATTTCTTGGTCTGGTCTACCTAGAAGGACTGACACATGACCTGATATTCCTGTACAATAGTAGACTGATTAACATGTTTGTCACCTGAGAGTTCTAATTCCAAATAATTTTTGTTTTATTAACTAAATCACTGTTCAAGACATTTCATCATACTGTATATAACTTGAATAAATATGGAGTATAAAATGATTATTTTGTCTAATTTTTTTAAAAAATATTAAAATTAAAAGTCTGACTCTTATCCATTGAGAAAGTACATCTATTCACATTCAAAGAGTACACTGCTTTTTTTACAACCAGATAATATTGTTTTAATCAGTTTTGAATGTAATTAATTTTTGGATGACTTAGCTGGTTTTTACTAGAAATATTAAATGAATTTATGGCTTCTTACCATGTGTTTTTCTAGAGCATATCAAATGCACTAAGAATTTGTTAGCTTATGAGTAAAAATATCAGCAATTTTGGCTTTGTTTCCAAAAAAGAACAAGATTTTTGAAGAATTTGGAAACTGGTTCTCAGTAAATACAGTCAGCAGGGAATTTATTCCAAAAAATTGCAGCTAGTTTAAGAACAGTACTACCTTTGTATGCAGATTATTACTATTGCATCAGGACTATATGTGTATATTTAACATTTTCTTGTAATCCAAAATAGTTTTGTTTTGGATTACAAAATTATACCTTTTTCAAAGAGTAATAATTATCTGTTTGACTGACTTCTCTTTATGGAAATGGTGCTTGAACAACTTAATTTTATTGTAAATATTGTTTCATGCTTCCATGATTGGTTTGGAGCAGTTTTTATAGCGTTTCAATTGGATCAATTTCTTTCTGGAGAAAAAAAGAGAATGGGATATTTATGATATTTATTCACATGACATTGAGCTAAACTGGGGTTGGGTATTTGCTAGTGTGGCAAAAAACTGGGTCAGGGGGTATCAAAAGTAGGGAAAATAAAAGGTCAGGAGTCATGGTGAGGACTGCTAAGAGTTCAGGTACATTACAACCTACAGTGTTGTAAATGAAAATGGAAATGTTATCAGTGTTGAAAAACCAAATGAAAAATTCTACTTGTGGAATTACTGGTTCATCACTTTTTGTTCAGCATCTATAGAGAAGAAAGTTTCCATGTTTTTAAATAGCACCATTTATTTCATTGTTTCATTCCAATCCACAACTTCCTGATTTCTTTCATCCCAGATTCATTTCTTCCTGATGGAAAATATAAGCAGTACGGTTAAAGTTTCTTAACTTTTTTTTCCAGATTAATGTGATTCTATTTGGGAAAGAGGTTCTTACAAATGAAAAGATGATGAATGAGGGGATTTTTAAATGCTGTTTTACTGAAGTAGGAAGTATTAGACAATTCAATGCTGCTATGCATATTATAAATATGGCTATAAAATTCTACTGATACAAGGCATCTTAAAAATATAACTAAATGTACTTGAATAACCTAAATGTAGTGCTAATGAAGTACTAATAATACAGTGGGAAAGAAATAGTAAGATACATGATATGGTTTTGATTATTAATGTATTTTTCCCTTGTCTGATTTTTTAAATGGTCATAACTAATATTTTCCAGATGCAGAGCCAAGATACTTGATTGTAGTGAGGCCAGCACCTGTTCCTAATTCCAAGAAATCCTGCTCAGGTACTGCAAAACTGTTAAACATTTTTATTTTTCCATAAAAATTCAGGAGGCCCATATTTCAATCAGAATGACTTTCCCTGAATTTGGACAACAAATTATAATAAATATTCAGCTATTGCTCTGGGTTGGTTATGTCATAATCTTCCCTTTTGTTCAAGAATGGTTCCATGGAACATACAGTTTCAAGACATGAACCACCCTATTCAACTTTTTTTTAAAAAGGAAGCCAATGTTAGCCAATTCAGCAATTCCTTGAAGAATTACATATTTTTTCATGCTCATAAAATCAAACCTACAGTATATTAGCATCTTGCTTTTTCTTATGATATAATCAAATATTTGCAAAGGGACCAAAAGAAGCATCATTCCATTGACAAATGACATGCACCCAGCAGATACTTTGCTCTGTTGTTTCACAAATCTGAGCTATAGCTTTTTTTGCTGCTAATCTGGAGACAAATTAGTGCATGTTTTCACTTAGCCTCACAAATAGTGGGGAATAATTAATTCAATTATCCACATGTATAATAATGGGAGATAACTAACTCTGACAACAAATTACAGAACAGTTCCATATTTCAGCAGAGGTTTCACGTTGCCATAAGTGCCTGCACTACTGGGCTCTGTCTTCCATGGAGTCAGCCAATATGCTACCATCCTAATTCTCTATGTTTGCTTTTTATGGAGAGGGGGGAAAAACTGGCTATTGTACAGGAGGACCAGAGTTGCCTCTCAGAGCAGCTCCTCTGAGCAACTGGAAAAGATGAAAGGAAGGTGCTACTTTACCTTATCTGCAGAAGGGAAGGGAGAAAAGAAGGAGCTGGGAGGTGGTCAACTATCTGCTGTTCAATTCTAAGGGGAAAAAAACCTTTTTGAAAACTGTGTATGCCTGCAAGTCCAATGATGTGAGGACAAGGAGGCACTGCCAAACTTGAACTGGCATGGTCCTTGCATATGGAACCATAAGTAGTTCAGACAAGTTCACTGAACTGAATTGTATTGATTGGTTTTGTAGGCCTCCCTACACTGGATGACCCTTGTTGTTTACAAAATTAAAAACAGAAATAAATACAAAATGACTCCAGCAATAACATTCAGGAAACAAAAAAACGCTGTCCAACTTCTTCACAACTCCCAGAGCTCATTTGACCTAATCCAAGACTTACAGGAAAAGCCAACTTTGTAAAGACAAGTTGAAAATGGGCAAAGTGGGAACCATGTGGATCACCAGGAAGATATTGTTCCTAAAGGCCGAAAAGGTTTGCTTCCTGTGTCCTACTAAATGAAACTGCATAATTGAAGGGACCTAAAGCAAGCCAACCTTGTCAGAACACACAGGATTGGCAGACATTGTGGGAGAGAGATAGTCCTCCAGATAGCTAGGTGTTATGACATTTAGGGCTTTATAGATAATAAGCAACCCTCAAATTTGACAGAGTCACTTTGTGAGATGGGCGGCTATATAAATATGATAAATAAAGATAAATAAAATTGCACTTGGAATCCAACAGGTAACCAATACAACTCATGCAGCAGAGGTGTTACAATGATATTGTAAGGCTTGCCCATTATTGCTTATACCAAATTCTGGATCAACTGTCATCAAGAGCAGCCCCATATAAGTTCATTGCAATAGTTTAACCATGAGATAACCAATACATGGTGAGGGCCTCCCAATCCAGGAATGCTGTATCTGTGCAAAGGGCTTTCTGACCACAGCTGCTACCTACTCCTCAAGCAGAAGCTGACAGTCCAGGAAGATCCCTAGATTACATCTAATTTATTTGATGCATAAACATACTTAAGCAAAGGGAAACAACATTTGTTGTCTCATAAAAGAAAATAATAAGAAAGATGGTGTATAACACATACTACATATGGAATTTGAACTACTTTTCTTTGCGCAAGGCAGAAGGCTCTCTTTGTTTAATAAAGCAATAAGATGAATTAAAAAAAAAAGTGGAAAATTCTGACTTGAAAATGAAGGTTGGGTACTAGAGAAGAGTTGAGGGAATCATAAAGAATCCAAAATAATATTCTGTTTAGAAATCTAGTCAAGCAAATAGAAAAACAAATACAACAAAAGTTGAGTGGTTTAGTGACTAGAGTCAAAGTTATTTGCAAGTTTTAAACAAATGCTACAAAGGACTCATTGGTTGTCAGAGAGAAAAGTGGTTTCATCACAAGCATCACAAAAAGAAATCTTAGAACCACTAAACAAAACAATCTGGTAAAGAAAAAAAGAGACCATTCTGATTTCCAAGACTTCAGTACTTTCTAGGGCTGCCAAAACGTTTGAAAGAGGTGCTTCATAAATTGCATTAGCTCAAATGAAACATTGCTCTTCAAACTATTAAAGCAAGTACATCCTTTCCAAGTTTCACTGGTCGCTTCGAAAGCTGTCCCTAGTTGTCTATGTGTTACTGTGCTCACGTACAGACAACACTTCTGCTCAAACTGCCAGGACTAAAGTAAAAAGTTCCCTTTCAATTTTACTGGATGCTGATCTTTGGCCATCAGGTAGGCATTATCAGGTACTGGCATATTTCCATGAGCAACTTACTTGAATCTAATTAATGCAGGATGCTTGTTTAGTAGACACATAAAATGGCACTAACATTTCACTTATTTTCAGCAGTCTATCCCGCTTCAATTTGTCTGCTTTTTCCCTAACAAAATAGAAGCTATGAGCCAATGTATCTGAGGAATGCTTCATGGAAATAAAGCCACCACATATCTCTAAACAAACAAACAAACAAACCTGTATGCCTGGGGTCATCTGTTAGCACTGTTTAAAACCCAGCCCAATGCCTTATGAGATATATACATATTCTACTCAAAACCCAAGGAATGGAAATCTCATTTTGTTGACGTTAAAAGATTGACATAAATATGTGTGTTAACTAGTCATTAACAAGACTTGCAGAAGGTGTGCTCATAAAATAGAATAACTGATGACTGACTAGCTCATGCTAAGCAGTATTCAAGGAACCAAGTAAAGGACATTTGGAGATAAAGAAATTGGCATGTATGTATGCACATACACCCACACATTTAAAGTTATGAAGGAAGGATTAGAAATTGAGCTGGAGCAATCTGAACAGTACACAGACAGAAAAGTTAAAGTTCAGCTGAATGTTCAATTTGCTGTGTGCTTACAACTATGTTTTAGAGTTTCATTAGTCTGTAGATGCTACTACAAAGGAATTAAAAGTGTAAGTGTCCATCCTTCCAATTTCCTATATAACACACTGCATATGAGCTCTTTCAGGAATTGAGAATAAAGGAACTAGTTGTCATCCAAGTGACAGGCATAGACTTTGCTCCTCCTAAAATATGAACGATTGCAGCTCTAAACTAGCTACCAGCAACATCACCCTACCCTCAGAAAAATATATATTTGTATTTTTAAAAATCCTTTTTGTCCTAAAATTTGGCACTATTCAACTTGGCACCCTAAGTGACAGCCTAGTTCACCTATATTGATTGAGCACCTCTGAGTACTGCATTAATTATCAGGGGTATCCACTCATAGCAGGGGTTTCTGCAATGTATGATTAAAAAGGCAAAATGGCAGCCAAGATATTATGATTAAAGTCCCATCTGTTTTTATGTGTGCTGTGTGTAGGACACAAATAGACAGAGGTTCAAGTGCACTATCACTGCTACCATCTTGACTTTTTTTTTTTTTACTATACCCTCTGGACACCCCTGACTCATAAAGTGGGGCTCTGTGTATGAGAAAATCTATTGAGAATACAACCATTGACATGCAATATTCATATCAACAGGAAACCAGCCTGCATATTGCTGTACGTGTGAAAGTCCCAAGTGTAGACCACTTTCTTGCTTGTGAGGATGCCTCTGCTTAAAGATTTTGAGATGACAGGGCTTATTCCCACCACACCTTCCCTTGTGAATAGTAACATGTAAATAATGCAGTCTGTTGTGACTGTAGTACTTCCTTACAAAAGAATACTATGGGTGAAATGAACTTTTCCTTATTGATGAATTTGTGCTAGCAACCTAAATGGTCTTCTAAAAAGGAATTAGAAGTGTGTGCAAGTTATTTGCAAATAACTTTGATCAAGGATGAGGACTGGACAGGTATGTGGGATAGCTGTAGTTTTCAAGTTACATTCCTCAGGGTTTAGTGGCTAGTTGCATTGAACAGTCACTTCCTATTGTAAGTCATGTTATAACCTGTGGATGATCTATGGATGACTGTGGATAGAAAGTGATTTGGACTGAGGAACCATTACAGTGCTTCTTACATATTGGGATATAAATGTAAAACTATTGCCCAAACAGGTCTGTAGGGAAAGAATTATGAGTAATTGATTATACAGAATAAACAATGTTACCTGGTTTTAATTATCATCATGTCCTATTATAAATACTTTGGCAATAAATACCTGTCCTTGACTGTATCACTTTGAAATACAACAGATGTAATCTTTCCAGTTTTAAATTAAGTGACTCTGAATTGAATACAGCTCATCAGCTACAGCTGTGGACCTTCTGGTGTTCCACAGCACTCCTCTATATGCAATGTTAGCAACGAAGAAAAGAGATAAGTGGCATTCTGATGGATCATAGAATAGTGATATGAGTGATAAATTTAGAAGCCCTTGTGATATATCTTAAAATATATGACTATAAAACATTATGCAATTTTATATTACTTGCTTATATAGGTAAAACAAAGACACGCAAACCCCTTCAACTGGTAATAGGCACTTTAACTCCAACATCTGTCTTCCTATCCTGGGGGATATTAGTCAATCCAAACCATGATTGGACCACAGTGAATAACTGTCCAAATGACAGGTAATGGAATGAAACGATACTTTATTATTTTCCATAATGCATCTGTTTTCCATGCAAAAAGATATTTTATTCATGAAATGACATGAGCTTACAATTACAGTTTGGATAAGAGCGCACTGTGGCCATTTAGTTCTTGCTATATTTCTTTTTGTGAAAGTAAAAATGCCTTTGCTCTGAGCAAGTTTGTCACATGTTAAACACATTTAAAAGCTAGTGTGGTATAGTGGCTAAGATTCTGGACTAGGACTGGGCAGGGCCAGTTTCAAGTCCATCCTCAACAATGAAAACTCAATAGATGACTTTGGGCCAGTCACATTCTCTCAGCCCAAGCTCTCAGCTTGTTGTGGGGATAGAACAACCGGAGACCCGTATGTTATTTATATAATGAAATAACTAAGTGAAGTAAATATGCTATTTTAGTACTATCCTTGTCTGAACTATTTTTATTCTGTTTTAGACCTTGACCTCATTTGTCCACAATATCATCCAGTGCTGTAATCTCTGGTGCCCTACACAATTAAAACAGTAATATCACCAAGCTATCTTTGACGTGATAACTTGCACAAACTTGTAAACAAATTCATATTGCCACTACTGCCAAATGAATGAATGTAGAATAATAAGGTCAAGGAAAGTGAAATAAGTAAGAAAGATAATAATGCTAATAAAGGACAGTGGCTGAACAAAAACAAGGGTTTTTTTTTAAAAAATGAAAGAATATTTTTAACAGCACTGTAGTTTGAGAGTCTATAACACATAACACATCTGCAGCTGAAGGTAATTCAACCTTGAATTTATCATGTGGCCTCTTCCTAAGTTACTAATTAGGCCGCTGTTGTATGCTGACGTAAATATAATGCTATTTCAACATATTAGTTCACATAGTTTCCATTATGCTTTGAGGCTGATTTTTATCTTGTTGGGGTTAGATCAGAATTGTTAGATTAAATGGAGGAATTGTCATAATTTATGAGGAAATGTTAGACATATTTTTATGCCTACAGGCAAGTTTCTAAAATTATATGGTTGGAAAAAAGAGGTGTCTGTTATTAAATATATCTTGATTACATGTGTTATACAGAGAAATAAGACAGGCAGATGAGAAAACTAGGTTATGTTTTAAAGGGAAGTTTAAAAGGCTCTGCATTTGCAAAGATATTTACAATAAAATGAAAGAAATAAATTGCTGTCATTCCCACAAAGCATAATGTAGGTCAGCTAGTTTAGCACGGTTGCTAAGAAACCTGCGTGAGGGAGCACTGATCAGATATGAATCCATTGCCTCAATCTGGATAGTTGGAATGAACTACCCATATACTGCCTCAATTTAGACAATGAAATTAACTCTGTCTAATGTCTTACCGTCTCAGGGTCCTTTTCCCACAATTCAAGAATGTCTGAAGTAAAACTGAATACATGCATAAAGTTTTCCATAATAAATTTGGTTTTGCTTTCAGCAAAGATGCACACATTACTTTAAATGTCCTTCATTTTCTCAGATGGAAAGTTTATGTTTACTTTTATCAACTAGATTTTATACAGTGCGCTACAGAGAAAAGGACAAGAATAAGAAGTGGATTCTGCAGCTTTGTCCAACTACAGAAACAGTGGTGGACAATTTGAAACCTAACGCTATTTATGAATTTGGAGTGAAAGACAATACAGGTGATGGGATCTGGAGTAAGATTTTCACTCACAAGGTGGCTGGTAAGTAATTTGTAACAGTTTCAAACTTTCACTGCTTAATAAAAACCTTATTTATTTATTTATTTAATTTTAGCTGCTTTAAAAATTGTAAGACTCTATGTGGCTTACGATTTGTAAAACAATACATAATTTAAAAGAGGAACATGACTGCACAGACAAAAACACATGAATAACCCCCAGACTAGATAAACTCTCTTCATAATATCTGCCTGTCCAATTCAATCTGGCAAGGTTGGCACAATCCAGGTTCCTTCAATTAAACAATGCCATCTACTGGGACCCCAGAAGTGTGCCTTCTAGAATGAGGTTCTCCCCAAGATCCAGATGGCCCTCACCCTACTGTTGTTTAGAAGGGCTGTAAAGACCCTTCTTTGCTGGCTTTTTTATTTGAATTTCATCTTTTGAAGTCAAATCATTATATGCAATCTTTTATTTTAGGGTTTTTTCAGATTTTCAGATTTGAACTTTCTGGTAAGGGGAGCAACAAAAGACAGCGTCAGCCTTTCTAATGTTAAGAAAATAATGCTGAGGTTTTACAGAGCTCCTGTGCCTTTAATTAAAATATTCCTTTCATTTGTTCATTTAGACTTTAATCCACCAAATTCATACAGGTTCTAAGTGGATTACAGAATTTCACAACAAGGGTTAAAAAAATTAAAATTAAAAGTCCAACACAGAAATGCCCCCCCCCCAAACCATCACAGTGCTAAACCCCCATATCCTCAAATGCCTTCCCAACAAGCCATGTTTTTGGAAACCGAATAAGGTGGAGGCAGACCAGAGGGTGAGCTGTTCCATAGAAGGGGACTATCACACACCCACTTGTTCTTTATCTTCCTATTGTAGACAGCAGTGAGAATCATGATAAATAGTCTCTTAACTGCCTCTGGTAAAAATGTTCATAGTCTCACTTTTCCCTCTTCCCATGAAGGCTGTTGCAAAGACTCTAATTGTTGACTTCCCCCCTTTTCTTCTTCTTTTTATACGTAACACTATTCCACTTATACAGCCACCTTAAACACCTATACTTAAAGTAATCACTCCATCCACACACTCTCTAGGCAAAGATAAGTTTCATAGTAGGAGAGTCTATTTATTTTTGGAGTTATACGTTCCAAATACCAGTTTTAAATATCTTAAGATAGACAACATTTGGTGGCCAAGTGTCCTACTTATATTTTTGGAGGACAATATTTTTGGAGGGGAGGCAATGATGTAGTCAGAGGGAATATGGTATTTATTTAAAAAAAAAGGGGGGGGTGAGTCCTCAAGTGACCCACTCCTGACTTTAAATAAGAAAGCCGCAGAGAAATTGATTTTCTTAGGTACACAGAATGAATATGGCACTTATATTTTATCAAATGTATGAGCTTTTGCCAACAGCATTTTAACTGGTCAGTTTAAATATTGCTTATTTCTATGAATGAATAAATTACCTATTTAAGACAATGACAATTGCTTAAGTATCTGTTCCTCTGTTTTCCTATTTCATCTATTCTGTTCTACTTTTCCCCCATCATAGGTTGTACCCATAAACCCAACTGCTTCTAGGTGATTTCTCTTACAGTTCTCCTTGGTTTTCAAGAGAACTGTGGATAATAAAACAAATGAAAGGAGAGCTAGAGTGAAAATGGTGGAATACTCAGAAGATTCTTTAGTATTACTAAACCTAGTGTGCCAAATATGCCCATTCCTGTTTATATAAAATCTTGCTACATCCCATGTTTTAGTGTAATATAACATGCTTTTTAAAGGGCTGACTTTGAAAACTGTTTAGATGTTTTAGTTAGTGCACAATCCTGAACCCAGGCTATTGATTCTGAAAGCATGAGAGAGAAGCATCTTCTTACTTCGTTAGTTAACAATAACAGCCTATTTCTGAACATATGTATAGATGCTAGTTATAGCTTATAAAGCTGCATAAAAGTTGGGCCAAAGCTACTTGAAGTTTTGCATTTTCTCTTATGGGCCTCTTCAAGTTACAATCTTTGAGATGTCCTTCCCATTGTGCTAGTACCAGGAATATATTCAGCGGGAAGTTGAGAGAGGATCTTCTTGGAATGACTGAGCCTAGATTTTGAAACCTACTGCAATATGAGGACAGGACCAGCCAGACAATTGTTGTAAATACATGTTAATGCTAACAGTTTTTGGCATCTTACTTGATATGCTACTGACATTGGTTTTGTGAGATTATTATTATTATATACTTTTTTATTTGTGTATTTATTTGATGAGTTTAAATATTTGAATTAGTTACTATTGTCATCTGCTTATAGCATTGTCTTTAGGAGAAAGATGGGCTATGAATGTAATAAATAAATAAAATAGAGTATTTTCCCATAAATATTACCCACCTAAGTTAAATATATCACTGACAATTGCAGGAAAGAGCTAGAGTTTAAATATAAGTTGAAGAACAGGCCAATACATTCATTAAAATTATCATTAACTGTGACATAAACAATGGGAAGTAGTATGAAGAAATCACATTACATTTGGAATTATAAGATTAGTGTGTGTATGTATCTTTATGTAACTACTGGAGGATTTTTACATATATATATATATATACATATATATTTATGTCAGGTAAAAACAAAGAAAATGGACAACTCCAGAACAACTACAAGTTACCTAAAATCCAAACACAGGTATGCAATGAAAATTATTTTTATTTTTATTAGTTTGCATATTTGTTGTATAAGTGATGTATCAAATGTGAATCTGAAATTTTCCTTTTTTCCATACAAAAATTAATAATATATGCAAACACTGCTATTAATTCCTATTCAGAGACCCTACAAATATTTCTCACTTTTCACATCAGAAGTATTCCATCCAAAGCAGGGTCAGGATAAACTGGATTTAATTGTCTTGTTTGTATTTTTAGTATTAAATACATTTTTGATTATGTGAATTATTATAGAAGATTTTTAGAGCTGAAATACTTGGTTTACAATTGTTTGGCCCTTGATTGCTCTATAATATGACTTGAGATCTTTTAACCAAGCAACTGGGAAGTACAGAGTAATATAATACAGGTTCCCAGCACATCTCCTTTCCCTTGTGTTGAAATGATTTAGTATCATTCCAGCACATTAAGATTTTAAGTAAATCTTAAAAGTAAGATTTTAAGTAAATCTTAATAATTTACTATTTCTTGCACTAATAAAGCCATTTCCCACCTGTTGCCATCCAGGTGAGTTAGGACCACATATCTCAGAATTCCCAGACAGTGCTGATTGTGAAATTTCCCTATCCCTAGTTTCAGTACATCTGGGCAGGTTGGGAAAGGTTGTTCTAACTACATGAAGATCATCTGTAACTTCTGGCTATGTGTAAATATGTGTGAGTATTGTAAGATAAACAGTGGAAGTTTTGAACATTCACACATTATTGTAACATTAATTTTTGGAATCTGACTTCATCAAATGTAACAGTTGCTTCATTGTACAACTGAAGTTATCAAGAAGTCATGCAGCAAGTTTAGGCAGCTATCACTTCACAAAAGTTAATATGAAGCCATCTAAAAATCTGAATGGGAAATTCTAACTATAGAACCTTAGCCTAGTACTTAAACTGATAAGAGAGTTCCCTTTAATTTAGATATTTTGAGGACCACCATATTGATTTCCTTTTCTTTTTTTTCTTCTTTTTTTGCCAAAGTTTAAGGAAATTTCCTGCCATGAGTCATCATCTTGTTGACACTAGAAGCTGAATTCTTTCACACTGGTTGCAGTGCAGTGATTCAGTTAATTTATAATATCCTAGTGAATTTACAGTATACTGGGGAATGTACTAGCAATCCACTTTGGATTTACATATAGTATATACAGTACATATAGTCCAACATTGCATCTCATGAGTGGCTTGGCATGTTTAGAGTTGGAACACTGGTTTCCGAGAATTACATCAATGTTTAAATCTTTCTTCCCCTCCACCCCCGATTATTGTATAAGTAAGAGCACAAGCCCTTTTCAGTTGTTATCAGTGGGTGTTGCTTCTACTTGCAGAGAAAGGAACAAGAATAAGCATGCTACCTACATTCTCCCTTAGCTATCATTCAGTTTTTCCTCCACAAAAAGTATCTGTTGATAGAAGAGTTTTTTGTAATTTTGAAGGCTCTTTATGCAGTTAAGAATCCTTATATACCATGGATTCAAGAAGCTTTTTTCTACTGACAATCATGTTCTATGAAAGGAAGGCAAGGTTACTGAAGACAGGATTCTTAGGTCTGGGAAAAGAGACAGAATTAGCTTGTTTGTCCCTTGTTAGCAACATTATGAGAATGACCAAAGAGAGCTTATAAGTATTCTAAATTGCAACATCATTGCTAATGTAAAAGGACTTAATACATAGAGTCAACATGGCATATCATGTTTATTAATGTTCCTAAAAAGGATATTACAGTGGTGCACTGGAAAACATACAGAAAAAGCATTTCATCCCCACCCCAAATTAGTTTAATATAAAAGGGAAGCTAATTTTAAAAAACAAACAGGCAAATATTTAGAACTTGTCAGAGCACTGAGTCTTTGGAGTGTCCAAAGGAACATTGGAATTTTTCTGCCTGTGTATGATTTTTAGCACACCAGAAATCAAAAACAGAACTTGGTATATGCATTTTCATTTACTTCCTTTTCTCCTTCACATATAATGTTATAGCACAGCAGAGTGCTTTAAACTGTTAAATTTCCACATTTGTTCTCTGAAAAAATGGCTTAGCCTTCTTGTTTTAATTAGTAAAGTTTTGTAAAACAAGAGGTGTCCTCAGGGCGGTATGTGTGTCTGCATGATTGAATCCCATTTCTTTTTACATGTGTTGCACCAGCTTGACTTTTTTTACATACACTCCTGAGTGTAACTACTGCCTAGCATATCCCGTATGTGTGATAACTGAGTTTATTTTATTTCAGTCAACTGAGCATCAATAGGGCATGATTTACTTATACCATATAATGTTGACAGACTGTGGTACAAACATATATTGTAGTATGGGTATCAGAGAATGAATTTTTTACAACAACACCTAAGAAAAGCTCAATATTTTCAAACGTGCTTTAAATTATCTTAGCCAGCTCCTTTGGGAGGAAATGAGATTAGGCTAGGCTAGGCTAGGCTAGGCTAGGCTAGGCTAGGCTAGGCTAAGCTAAGCTAAAGCAATTGCCAGATGATTTATACAAAGAACCTGTTTTGTGCAAGTTATATTTAACTACTTAGAATCAAGGAAGGAAGAGGTAGAATTTCCCAACTGCTACATTTAGTAAGAGACTTTGTAAAAAGAAAAAGAAAAGACCCTATTGAAATTCCTAATATATCTTGCCATTCTCAAAGAATTTTAAAATTTAGTGACACTAACTTACATTTTCCGAAGTCATACTGATTATTTTTCAGCAAGACTGCAAAAGCTTTACAATTTTATCTAACAACATTGTCCACTATTTTATATGGGATATATATTGAGCTCATAATTTCTTGGAAAATCTCCAAAAGAAAATCCTGTTTTTCTTTTATCCTGGGGGCTTGTTGCAATGTTAGGTTTTCAGTCTGTCTTTCCCTGGAACTCAAAGAACCCTTTCATGGAAGTCTTCCCTCTTTTTATCTATACAATAAAAATATTGTAAAGTGGATTGAAATGAGAAATTTTGGTTGGTTCAGAATGACCCAATGAACTTTATATTGGGATAGGCATTCACACCTGAAGTCCCCAGTCCTAGCTCAACACCTTCTAGACTATATTGTACTACATTGAATTTATGCAATATTAGTATGGTACATATTTTTGTTAAAAGTACATCAATTTCACATTTGACTTGTTTGAATGGAACATGAATGGACTGCATCTGGCCCTGATTCTTTGTTTTCAGTTTTGTCAGTAAGTTCAACTGTAGTCCTATAGCTGCTTTCACTTAATGACCTAGTTCACACATAATGCCATATCAAAGATGTTTTGTTTTCAGCTTAGCATAATATGACCATTCATTTGAAGCATAGTTTATTTTTGGCAACAAATGACATCTGGAAATTGTGGTTTGCTGATGTATCCATTCTGGCTTGATTAATATGTTCTATTGTCTGAATCCAGAATCTGACTTATTCCAAGCCTATTACTTACTCAAGTCAGTGCTCCATTAATGTCTACTAAATATTTGCAGAAGAAGTGGAGAAAAAAAAAATGAATCAGTTAGATCAAGTTGTTATTTTACTTAAGTGTTAAGACTGATTCAGATTTTTAGGTGTGTGTCAATTTTTTTTAAAAAAATAGGAATATAATTAATTTACTTTCTATTAAATAGTTCTACCTTCCAGTGCGCTTATCTCATATAGTTTATATATAGATATAGATATATAGTGTGTATGTATGTATGTATGTGTATATGTGTGTGTGTGTATGTATGTGTGTGTGTGTATATATATATATA